CTACTAGTAAGGCACTTGTTACTAGAAGCGATGCACTTGTTCCTAGTGGCTTCTTGTTACTACTCTAACCTCATCATTTTTCTTGGATGGCATCATCGGCTAAACTGTCAACGTCTTTGCGTCCTCCTCTGTGAGGTAGGTCCGAACGATGCCGGACTTTCCATCGCTCAAAAAGAAGCTCAGTTCTAACAGCAACGGCTTCACCTCACGAAAAAATGCATCTGCAGCCGTAGCCTTCGCACTTAAAGTCTCTGTGCTGAAGTAGCGCTCGAAACTCTCTCTCTCACACTCTCTCTCCCTCTCTCTGTTTGCAACCAATCTAGGGCTTAGTAGAACTTTGAGTCTTCTACCGTCCGGTCGTTGGCAAACGCCAGCTTCGCCTGGCAACGAAGCTGCAGCCGACTGCAGAGTGCCAACGGCCAAGGCCTGCAGCTTGTGACCTGCCACTTTGATCGTGGATGGCTCCACGGTGTGGACCACGATGCCTGCGATTCCGTCTCTCTCTCTCTCCCGATGGCCTCCGACCCTACAAGCGATGGTCAAAGGCGCGCCGGCGGGAAATGGCCTGGTTCTTGTTTCACCTGGCGCCCAGCGACTCGCGACGGCGATTCGCAACTCGCGACGCATGCCTTGTCAATGTACTTCTGATATCTTCGGCAGAATGATCCTTGCCTTGGGTGTGGAAAGGGTGGAAGAAATCCTAAAAGATCCCAAGATCTACCAAGTCAGATCTACCAAGTCGTGGACTCACATGTTCGAAACTTGGATCTGTCCACGGCCAACGGGAAGCAAGCAAAACCTGCAGGTCCAGAGTCGAAACCATCTCTGCGGTGTACCAACGTAGCGATGGGCTCCAACCTAAGACGCGGAACCGCAAGATCCGGCCTGCGATCAACACTCCTCGCAAGATCCAGCCCATCTTGAAAACAGCTGCATCTGATCATGAAGCATGTCATGCGCCATACGCCGTTTTCACCCGGACCGCGGCACCCTTCGTATAATGAGTATGAACCTTCACGCTAGCACAAGAACACCGAACACCCGTTGCTTTTCTCGGGCCATCGTTCGCATCCGTTCAGATCGTCCGCATCCGCTTGGCTTCCGGCGGTCTGCAGGCGCCAAGCTCAAAGGTGAGCATACCATCACGTGGCTTAACGTGAGGCAAAGTCAATTGAAGTCGATAGTTCTCCGGATCGGTTGCGCCCTCGGTATTGATGATCAACACTTGGCTGTCCGCTCCTAAAGCCAGTGCTTCTCGCAAAGCTGTAGCAGTCTGACAGTTCGATGACATGATATGCTCCAGGAGCCCTAGGCACGCCAAAGGTTGAGCAAAATGAACAAACATCAAAAAAAGAAGCACCCCCCAAAACAAAACGTGCCTAGTGCCTACTCTACTCTTTTCCAGGCACCTGCAGCAGCTCCGCCACATTCTCCTGCTTCGATTCCGTGCCGATGCAGCAGTCGCATGCCATTTCCGGCAATCTCGTCCTCCACACTAGTAGCACTACTAGTAGCTTCTTGTTCCTAGTAGTAAGAATGCTTCTAGTAGCGATGCCAGGAGCCCCTAGTAGCTTCTTGTTACTAGTAGTAAGGCCAGGAGCCCCTAGTAGCGTCCTCAACACTGACGAATGCCGAGACGTGTTCACGCAGGATGGGCCAAGCAATGCTCGATGGAACGCCACAGGCTAAACCTGCAATCATCGTGTCCAATTCGCCCGTCACCTCTGTAAGCTTTCCATCATTTCTCATGGATTCTAGTCCGCATGCGGCATTCTTCGGTTCAAGAACCAGAAATCGAGGCATTCGGTATCCATTACTCACTCTCAAGGCACTGAAGTGACCAACCACTGCGGCGGCCATGGAACCAACGCCCATCTGCAACAACACATGGCTGGGAAAATCCTCCATTGCTTCTAAAGACTCTTGGACCATGGCTGTGTAGCCTTGCATGATCCATTCAGGAATTTCAGTGTATCCCGGTGCAGTGGTATCCTGCAACACCACCCAACCTTTCTTCCTTCCTTCTGCAAAGGCCATCTCAACTGTATCATCATAGTTCAGATCTGTAATCTCTGCCTCTGCTCCTAGGTCCTTCACATGCTGCAGCCGTTGAAGAGCAGATCCCTTAGGCATGTAAACCACCGCCTTCTGCCCGAAGGTCTTGGCAGCCCAAGAAACACCACGGCCGTGATTCCCATCGGTTGCAGTCACAAAGGTCGTGATACCGAAACGCTCCGCGTATTGACGTTGGACGTCTGACACGTCCTGGTGCTCCTCAACCATCGGCAGCGCTAAACGCTTGCACATGAAGCGAAGCATGGCATATGCTCCACCAACGACCTTGAAGGCTTGCAAACCCAAGCGCTTCGATTCATCCTTCACGAAGAGAGAACCTAAACCTTCCAGGTGAAGTTTCTCTAAGGGTGTTGGTTCCAACTTCAGCACACGTCGCACCCTCTGCGACTCCTCTGGCCCAAAGGGTTGTCGAAGGGAGGGCGGAATCAAGGCGATCTGCGGTCGAACGAGGCGGTCGAACAAGGAGACGGCGCCGTGAGGGGTGATGAGGACAGTGTCACTGAGACCAACTCCTCCGTAGTCAGGAAGTTGAAGCCATGGAATCAAATGCAACACCATCTTCTCTTCAAAGACCTGCTCCGAACCAGGATCCATTCGAAAATGCTCGGCTTCACCCCAATCCGGATAAAAGCCAATGCCAATGGAGTAGCCGGAGCGTAGTGACATCGTGCCTTGCACCTTTTCCAATTCCCTTCGAGCTGCGCGATCAACGTCGCGTGCAACGGCTCCCGGTCGCATGAGATTCTTTGCAGTGTCCATTGCCTTCAAGACAGCAGCTTCTGCTTCAGCTAAGGCTTGAGGAAGAGCAGTTCCCACATAGCAGGACCGCATCAAAGCAGCGTGGTATCGCTCAAAACAGCCTCCAATCTCCAAAAACAAGAGATCGCCATCACGGAGGGCATGATGCCCAGAACCTGTGTAGTGGCCGATGCAACCATTCCGCCCCGCACACACAAAAGGCGGGTAGGCAGGATATTCACCGCCTTTTTCACACATCGCATGGTATATGTTCCCCGCAATCTGTGACTCTGTCATATGCACCGTGGAAGACAGCCCCGCTTGGACCCCAGCTGCACAAATTTCAGCCGCACGCTTCATAATCGCTATCTCTGCAGGAGATTTGATGAGACGATGCTTTGGAATGAGACTGGAACAATCCACGAAATTGCAAGACAGTCTCGATTCCAAGATCTGTCGCTGAGCGGCAGTCAATCGACGCGATGTCATTTCAAGTCCCGCCGTTTTGATGCTGGGGCTTTCTCGCATGATCACGTTGCAAAGCTTGGAAATGCCGCTTTCATAATCAACATACACCTCCCAGTTCGTCCGGTTGAAATTGGAACACAAAAGAGAACACCCCAAAACATGTGAGTGCTGTAAACAAAAAATGTTCTTTCTGGTTCTCTTCTTTAGACTCTAGACCTCATCTGTCCTTTCTAATTTAAAATGTTTGTCCTTTTGTTTTTTTCTCGTTTTTTGTTTCGGACTTCCGCCTCCAATTGATCTGTCCTGAGATTGCTGCGAGATGCATTGCTCACCTCAAGCTGTCGCGTCACAAAATAACTTTTGTCGGTCGCGTCAATCATGAGAGCCTGTACTTCTGGAGAGCCAACTGTTTGGTAGCCGGTCATGTAGTATATGTTCTCCGGCTCGGTGATAATCAACAGATCAACCTTCCTGGCCAAGCTGGACTGATCGAAAGCGATCTTAGGTCTGCGTGCCAAGAGATTGGCGCATCACAAAACAAGTACATCTTTGCCCCTAAGGGAGCAACATACATCAAGAAATCCCGTTAGTACAGATCCCTAGACTCCAGAGCGATTGTGTTGAGACATTTCTTGGTCCACGGACCATGTGTTTCGAGGGTCGAATGTTGAACTACGTTTAAACGCACCAGGTCGTCATCTCAATTCACATTCAACGGACAGGCTAGCGGCTAGCGGCTGGTGACAGGCCTGTGTTTCTTGCATCCTGCCAGGTCTTACCACTTTACCATCCAAATGGCTAAGTATCCTTGAGCCAATTCAGCTCCAACTTCGAAGCCTCCAACCTAGCCAGGCTAAGTATCCTTCGCCCCTCAGTCGGGTCCTTCCGGCCTTTCTGCCATGGACCGCTGCACCGAAGCCAGCCGCGCGGCATACTCGTCCGGCGCGAAGGGTGGATGCAAGTTCGGAGGACCCAGGGGTCCCACCATGGCGGATCCGAGGACAGGTGACAGGTATAGTGCCCCCTTCCCTTCTGAGGAAAAGGGGCGAATCCGGGCCGTTGGATCGTAAAGACGGGCTTCTGTTTCAATCTGGCCGGATCTGGCCGGGTTCCCCATGTCCAGTTTACAAAGAAATGGCTATCCAAAAACATCTGAAGTATATAATATCTGTTGCACCGGAGCACCATGGTTGCGGAGGCTAACTTGTCTACTAAATGTGACTATGTCGTCTATTTGCATCTTTGGAACACTTGTCAAAGAGGAAGGCTGGGCCAATGGGTGGGGTCAGATTGGAAATGGGTGAAAATGACCAGGCCCGGCGAGGTGTTGCAAAGTTTGAGAAGCGCCAACCGGAATCCAATCCGTGGCACCAATGATTAACATATCGATATTGGACCGGTCGAAGTACCTTTGTTTATTGGCCAGGGACGATCCATAGACGCCACTGAAATCCAAGTGTTCCCGAAACCTGTCCCAGCAATTGTAGAGCAAACATGTGTCGGGCAGCAGGCTTGAAAACCAAATGCAAAACAAAGAAGGCTCAGCTTCAAAAACAATCAACAACCTCAACAAATGTAAATTACGGAGAGACTTACTTCATGTTGTTCCCTGCGGAAGCTGACAGAAACTGGAGTTCTTTTCGGAGGCGCCATCTCTTGCATTCTTAGTTAGGTGAAGCCATGAATGCGGAGGGAATACTGGAATAAAAGCAACCCAACCCAACCCATCCAACCCGAACTGCCAAACTCTCGGCTTCACATGGCCCGTTTTTGGCACAGCGGAAGCTCACAGGCTTCACAGACCAGTCCCACCACCTGTGGGTTCAGTGAGTTGCCCAGCAATCCCCACAGTTCGCGAGCTCGGGATCCATCCATCGGCAGTCGAAAGGGCAGGCATCGGCACCCGGATCGGCCGGATCCCCCAGTCGATCCGCCCGATCGCTCACGGTCGACACATCTGGGAAGACAGTGGTGCTCCCGATCGGCGGAGTTTTCCTCGCCCAGCTTAAAGCCCATGAGACGGGCCACCTCCGTCGGAGAGAAATAACGAAGCTTGCCGTAGAACTCCTGCATGGAGTAGGATCCTGGCTCTTTAGAGGAGTTGGCCAGCACCTCCTCTGATACGAAAACGCTGCCTGTGCCATCGATATATCGGCCATATGCCTTGGTGAAGCACAACGAATGACAACAACTGCCATACACCACGTCGAAGCAGCGAGCCGCCTCCTGCAGCTCGGAGCATGGCAAAAATATGCAAAAATCACAAAGACATCCCCCTGGAGCGTTGAATTTGGTGGTTTCAGTCAGAACAATGTTGCAACCTCTGAGATCCTCTGCACAATGTGACTCTTTTCATCACCCCTGTCCTTCTGCAAGATCTTCTCTGGCACCAACCATTCGACGCATTCGATGCATTCGCTGCGTGTGTCGACGAACTCGGCGACCGATGACACCGGGTAACATCGCTGACCGCCGTCGTGCGCAGCGTCCGGAGCGGTGCGCCCACATGATGAGCAGCGACTTCGAGCTTCGTTCGTCTCGGAGGTCCAGTCGAGGTGACAACATGACAAGCTTTGCCAGGGCCTTAGCCAGGCCAGCCGATGCGGCTACTAGGATGGAGGTCAAACACTCTCAGTTGTAAGGACAAGGCAATTCTGGCAAATCAGGATTATCTGACTGGGAAGGTGGAACACGTCCAAAGGCGCAAGACGTGTGCTTCGCAACCTCAAGTCACGCCACATCCACGTCATCAAATGAGACTGCAAACACCAAACAAGCACCACCCTTTGCTACCTCAGACTTATCAACCATAGCACTTCCGTTGTTATTGGGTTGGAGGCCATCGCTAGTAGGTTGGGGGCCATCGCTAGTAGGTTGGGGGCCATCGCTAGTAGGTTGGGGGCCATCGCTAGTAGGTTGGGGGCCATCGCTATTAGGTTGGGGGCCATCGCTATTAGGTTGGGGGCCATCGCTAGTAGGTTGGGGGCCATCGCTATTAGGTTGGGGGCCATCGCTGGTAGGTTGGAGGCCATCGCTAGTAGGTTGGGGGCCATTGCTATTAGGTTGGAGGCCATCGCTAGTAGGTTGGGGGCCATCGCTATTAGGTTGGGGGCCATCGCTATTAGGTTGGGGGCCATCGGTATTAGGTTGGGGGTCATCGCTTCTAGGTTGGAGGCCATTGCTATTAGGTGGAGGCCATTGCTCTTAGGTTGGGGGTCATCGCTTCTAGGTTGGAGGCCATTGCTATTAGGTGGAGGCCATTGCTAGTAGTAACTCAAAATAGGATTGTTTAGTTTAATAAATAGCCCTTGGATTGCGTCATGGTAGTTCGGACTGCTGCAGAAAGTGAGGGATCAGGCGTGGCATTCCACACACACACA